AAGAAGCTACTAGTAGCAAAGGGCATCGCTAATAGTAACAAGGGCCTTACTAGTAGTAACAACTAGGGGCTCCTGGCATCGCTACTAGACGAACCGAGACTTCCCGAGTCAGTCGCCTCGACTCCCATCGAGTCCGTCGCGGAACCGCCTTGTCGACTGCGAACAGCCATTAACCCGCGGGAATCTTCACCATCCTGGGACAAAAGGCGGAGCAACAGCGGAGTAACCAGCCTTCGAGGGCCAACCAGGTTCAAACCTAAGAGCGATGGCCTCCAACCTAAGAGCCATGGCCTCCACCCTAGTAGCGATGGCCTCAAACCTACTTGCAATCCACTTCAATCCAGAGTGAACGTTCCGTGTCACTCTCATGTGCCAAGTCCCCTGCTCCGCGTGTCACGGTGGTTCGATGCACACGAATGGCCTCGAGCTTGGACACAGCACAGCGGGCGCAACGACAACTCTTCCCTCTGATCTGTTTTTGTGTTCCTCTTTGCCACGTTCAGGACCAACACAAAGAGAAAATGCCCTTGAAAGTGAGCTTCTTATGCAAGTGAATGGTGTCCAGTGCATTCGTTGCTTCCATCCTGCAATCGATGTGGACTCTTGGTACCGCTTGCAATCAAGGCACGAAAACAAGCAAAACTGATAGCAAGGCCGCCAGAGGAAAGTACATCAAGGGCGGCTGGGAGAAAGACATGGAAAATATGGAGGACCTGTCAAAAGTTCACCAGTCAAAATCTCTCCCAAAACAACCTTTGCCGAATGAGTTTCCTTATGAGACAATTGGCAGAGTGCCTCTGGTACAACCGCGCCACGGATACCATTTCTCGTGGGAAGTCAAATGGCACCTCAGTCGATTGTCGTTCCAAAGCCTCACTTTCACAGCCAGCAGCAGCATGAAGGGATTGGTCTTCTATCTAGATGAAAGTGTTGTGGCCTATCCGGAAACATGTTGGGCGGCATCCATTGTCTTTGAAAGTGTCCGGCCCACAACTCTTGTGTTCACTGTGATTGTTCTTGTTGCACAAATACATTTGGTTTATAATTGCAACCACTCTAAATCCATGTTACCAGCTTGACTTTAGGAAGAACTAAATTAAGTATATCTGTACTGAGAGAAAGTGTGTGGGCCTTGTAAATGTTTGACATGACTGGAGATGTAACACGATAAGGCAATGTGGTATGATGATTTACAATGTGATGTGTCTTGATCATGAAAGCATTAACAAAATTATTGGCATGTCGCTTTGCATGTTTGCCATTCAGACTTCGAAACAATTTTGTAAACCAATGAAAAAAATAAACTACAACTGCACGCACACCATAAAATCAAAACCTAGCCAAGCCACACTGCCTCTCTTAGGAACAGCAGGATCGTGCCAAAGCCACTTTGGAAGGGTCTCAGTGGCAGTGACATATGCGGACCATCAACATTAAGTGCCAGCCCTTGATCCAACCTAACAGCAAGGGCCTCCAACCGACTAGCGATGACCTCCAACCTGCTAGCGATGGCCTCCAACCTAGAGGCGATGACCTCCAACCTACTAGCGATGGCCTCCAACCTGGAAGCCTCCAACCTAATTACTAGCGATGACCTCCCTAATAGCGATGGCCTCCAACCTATCAGCGATGGTCTCCAACCTACTAGCACTCCTCACGCTCTTCAAATGTATGATAAAAGCAAGCACTCTTGATACGCATTCTCAGATTCAGACTGGAGTTGCATTAGCGCTTACCGTTTCCTGAGCGGTGAAAGCACAACATCCAGCTTATCTCCCACACATACTATTCTTGCGCGCAATAGGTTAGCTAGCTTCTAAACAACACGCTGAACCAGCTAGAAGTTTCATCTCGTTTGATCTTTCCTTTCCATGCTTGTGGCTGTTTGTCCTCAATTCGAGCGTCGTTGTGCTTCTTCATTTCTCTCGCTCTATTCTTCCTCAGGTCCGAAGTTGATTCCACTCTCACACAAGGCCGATGAAAAGCTTCTTGTTCAAAGGCATCAAAAGAAACCCAACACAGGCGTGGTGCAATGCATTGATCCAATCAATCTGCTTTGTCCATCCCATGTCGAAGATGGTCTTGGCCTAAGTTGGGGCGGTCTGAGTGCACAAGTAAGATAACTTCGCTCTGTTCAAAAGGCCGCGGGCATTCAAAAAGTTGGGCGGGTGCAGGTTGACATGACTCCTCAGTTGGAGGATTCATACAGCTTTGCAGTAGACCCCACGCCGTCTAAGCACAAGCTTGACAAAGGAACAAGAAGATACTAGGAGCAAAGGGCATCGCTACTAGGAGCAAGGACGCTAGTAACTTAGTAGTAGCTCCTGGCCTTACTACTAGGAACAAGAAGCTACTAGTAGCAAAGGGCATCGCTACTAGTAACAAGGGCATGACTACTAGTAGCAAGGACGCGACGAACGTAGCGATGTGACATGTCGACAAACGGATACGGATCATCCAGGCGTAGCGTGGCTGCAGCCAGGCATCGTGAAGCGAATTCGAGAACCGCCCTCCTTGGCTCGATGCTCCAGGTTACAGGAAGGCAAAGCTGGGCGAAGGCCAAGCCCAGCCAGGCACGTTCAAAAAGAGTGCCATCTAGTTCAAAGCCCAAATCAAGGCTTGATGAAGTAGCTATTTGCTGTTTAGCTATTTAGTGCCGTCACTTTGCTAAACTAGTGTCTCTCGGTGCAATCGAAGTGCATGAAAGTTCCAACAAGCTCAGTGTCTGAAAGTTGGTAGCAAAAAGAGCTGCCAGCGTAAAGTGCGTATGAGGTAACTAAAGTCTTAAAATCTATGAGGTAACTCCCTACAAACCAACGCTAATGGAATCACAACTGGCAACTCCAGCTATTGACTGAGGTGAACAAGTCCTTCCTGTTGCAAAGGCATCACTGGGGCTGTGAAAAGGAAGAGCACAGTAAGGGATTACACCATGAAGAAATAGCTTATCCAGCAACACGAACTTCGCTATTAGGTTGGAGGCCATCGCTACTAGGTTGGAGGCCAGCAACACTTCACCTCTTCCTCGTGAAATATTCAGAGAAGGATCCAGTTTGGATGTTTAGAGTGATACCGCAGGTAGGGTAGGACGCCACCCACGAGTCCCAGCTTAAAACGGCAAGTCGCTGGGCAGCAAGAATAGGGATTCCCAGCTGGGCAGCTCGTCTCACCACCCGGTGGACAAGGTTGAATCCAATACGCTCCAAGACAGTTCTCGGCCTCGAAGCAACACGAAAGACGTGTTCTATCCAGAAGACATGTCAAATAAGAAAAATAGAAGAAGGTGTTTAGGCCTGATTGAAGAGATCAAATACCTTCCGTCATTTTCCCTTTTTCCCGTAGACCCTTGCCGCACCTGGACTGCAAACTTATTGGGTTTGTGCACCTGTGCCAGGCAGACCAAGCTTTCTTCAGCTACTGCCTTCAGGCAAGGCACTGTTTGCCGGCCTCATGGATAGTCTCGACATTCAAAGAAGAGACTGCGAACCAATACTCCTAAGCAGACAATGACCATCACTCTTAGGTTGGAGGCCATCGCTAGTAGGTTGGAGGCCATCACTATTAGGGTGGAGGCCATCACTAGTAGGTTGGAGGCCATTGCTAGTAGGTTGGAGGTCATTTTTCGTGGGTTGGAGGCCGTTGCTTCTAGGTTGGAGGCCGTTGCTTCTAGGTTGGAGGCCACTGCTAGTAGGTTGGAGGCCATTGCTAGTAGGTTGGAGGCCATCGCTTCTAGGTTGGGGGCCATCGCTAGTAGGTTGGAGGAACTTGCTTCTAGGTCGGAGGCCATCGCTAGCAGGTTGGAGGCCATCGCTAGTAGGTTGGAGGCCATTGCTTCTAGGTCGGAGGCCATTGCTAGTAGGTTGGAGGTCATTGCTTCTAGGTTGGAGGCCATCGCTAGTAGGTTGGAGGCCATCGCTATAGGTTGGAGGCGATCGCTATTAGGTTGGAGGCCATCGCTATTAGGTTGGAGGCCATCGCTACTAGGTTGGAGGCCATCGCTTCTAGGTTGGGGGCCATCCCTAGTAGGTTGGAGGCCATTGCTGGTAGGTCGGAGGCCATTGCTAGTAGGTTGGAAGCCATCGCTAGTAGGTTGGAGGTCATTGCTTCTAGGTTGGAGGCCATCGCTAGTAGGTTGGAGGCCATTGCTAGTAGGTTGGAGGCCATTGCTTCTAGGTTGGAGGCCAATGCTAGTAGGTTGGAGGCCATTGCTAGTAGGTTGGAGGCCATTGCTTCTAGGTTGGAGGCCATTGCTAGTTGGTTGGAGGCCATCGCTAGTAGGTTGGAGGCCATTGCTAGTAGGTCGGAGGCCATTGCTAG